GTCACTTCATCTCAAACTATACTTTCCCCTAGTTTTAAAGACAAGCCCCACCATCAGGGATGGAGATTTTCAGTTTTGCAGTGCATGGTGGTACCAGCAGCTGCTGAGATCCGCAACCCGGGCATGCGTTAGGGAGAGCAAAGATGGAGGGAATCCTGCCGTCACGTGGCGAGCTTGACTGAAGTGACGCCTTGTACGTGGTCAATGTACACTCCTGTGCCTGCTGCCAAGAACAGCTGGCAACACACACTTCACAGGATTGGCGAGGGAGAGGAATCTATCTTCTGAGTAGTCTTTCATCCTGGATCGTCACTGGCAAGATCTTTGGCATGAAAAATTAAAATAAAAGAATCATTTCTCTTTGGATGGATTAGCATGGCTTTCTGGGTAGTTGGAGAACAGCTGCCAGAAACAAGACTATTTAGCTTGGTAATGAAGCGTTAAGCATTCTTTTTTTCCTGAGTTTTGGCAAAGTCACTTTCCTCTAGAATTTTACGTTTCACTCCACTACTTCATGTTTTGGGAGTTAAATGCCATCCAGTTAATTTGGTGCTGGGTGCCTCTTTAATGGGTGGGTGGGTGGGTGCATGCAGCGCTGTACGCAAGAGCTGTGGCACTCACTTGAGTGGTTGTGGAGGGCCTCTTCTCTTAACAGATCTCAGGGCAGGAGAGATCAAAGCGTTTCTTTTTTTTCCTCCATGCAGGTCACTCTAATCAGTGCTTTTATCTTCCCGCAACTACCTCCAAAACCTGTGAATATATTTTTTGCTTTCTGCATCTCCTTGTGTTGCATTTCTGCTGGCATACTTGTAAGTACCACCACCTCTACCACGCAGTCTTTTGAATGTGTGACTGAATCTGACAGTCTGCCTTATCGCTCTATGGCTTCATGTCAGTAAATTTATTTGAAACACCCTGTTTGTGAAAGTTTGTCCCTGATTTTGCTCACTAGATCTAGTCCTCCCTTTCTTGGAGGCGGAATCATGAGCTGCCATCTCCAAAGAAGTCAACTGCAAATGTGTCTTTGTTTTCCTGGTGTACAGTGTGACCAGGTGCTACTGGAAAAGGCAAATGACCAAAGTGCCTATGAGAGAAATGAAATAGAACAAGTCTCTTGGGGTTGCAAGAAATCCCCACGATTAACACAGGATAGTTTTGAGAATTAGGCAACCAGATAGCAGAGCAATGAGATGGGAAATACAGCAGTGATTCATCCTGCAGAAGACTGGTGGTAGCTCAAAAGACTTGAACTTGAAGTGGTGGGGCAAGCCCAAGCGCTTGCAAAGTCCCTGAGCTATCATGCACAGGGAGATGGAGTGGCAGGAAATAAGAGCAGGTGACAGTTCACCTGGGTACTAGGTTGAGGTGGAGCGGTAAAACACGTTGCTGCAGTCTTGTTGGTATAGTCCACAAGCATGCTAAAAAAACATAGATGGCATGCCTTAATTTTCAAAGGAACTTTGCTGGTTGCTACACCTAATCTTCTCCAGTCAGATTAAGCAGGGCTGTTTTATGGGGGGGAGGGGGAAGCTCTAGCAGTTTCTGGCATTTTTAAGTAATGCAAACTTATTCCCTCTTCTAGATCTACTGGTATCGACAAGGAGACCTGGAACCTAAATTCAGGAACTTAATTTACTACATACTATTTTCTATTGTCATGTTATGTATATGTGCCAACCTGTACTTCCATGAAGTGGGTAAATGACTGACATTGCTGGGTATTCCCAATGATGCTACTGTATCAGACTGCTCTCAGCTCGGCCTGAGAAACTTAATGGAAGACGATCAGCCTGAGAGAAAAGCAGCGGGTTGTGCAAGAATAAACCAGTACATGATTTTCATGTAAATGTATATGTAATGTCCCTCTTGTTAGGGAGAATTATTGCCGTAAGACATGACATTCTGCTTTTTTTTGAAGAGCTACTGTTGCACTTAATGAACATTCCAGTTGTACCGATGTTTCAGAATGGCACAAGCTTTTTCATTTTGGAAAAAACTGCATTTTTTTTATTACTGTACAAGTAAACTGCAGCCCTGCAAGGTTCTGTAGCAGTATAAATAAACGGCATCTTACAGTTACATAAGACAAATACTCTTTATTTTGTTTAAACTGAATATACAATTATTTCTGTTCCCTAGGCAACCATTTGAAACTACAACTTATTTTTCACATTAACAAAACCACAGACTGGAAAAGACCAACTCTGATTATGAAGAGCTAATTACAGAAATAAATAAAATAATTTATACATGAGCCTTTAGTTTCTATAGTTTTTTTCTCTTGAACCCTAGCAAACAGGCTGCTCAGCCTAGTGTCTGTTTCAACCCTTGAACGTAGGGATTAATTTTTCCTTTGCCTTAAGCCCCCTACGCCCGAGTTCTCATAGAGCTATATCTCCAAGACCAGGCCACCTCCACAACACCCCCCCCACCCCCCATCTAGCAACTTGCTGCATAATTCACCTCTAGAGAGGTGGCTGGTAGTGTAACGTAAACAGCGAGACAGACAAGTGTTTCCATCTTACTTGCCAAAACCTTCAAAAGTTACAAGCTTTTGGGGGGATGCTGCCGGGTCCTAGTAGCTTCCCTTTCTCACAGACCTTCCCTTTTTATTCCGCTTGCTGTAGTGATGAAACTTAAAAAAAAAAAAAAAGTTAGACTTTTCACAACTATTGTTTCTGAACTGTATCCATTGCCAGCAACGGACTCTTCAGGAACAAGCAGAACAGAAAAATCCCATAAGCATCTGTGACTTGAGTCCTATGGTGTAGAAGTACTGATGAACCAGATGAGATGGGAATAGAGACCATTTCTTCATGATGCTGCTCGTGCTCCCTGAAGTCTTTGATGGAATACATTTCTTCCTGAAATGTAACAGTCCCTTACTCCATACGTTACAAGAGTCAGTAAGTGCAGAAATCCTCACCCATTCTTCATGAAACATGTGCAAACTAATTCTTGCTGCGGCACTAAGAGGCTACGGTCCACAATCCTTGGCTTCTGTCCAGTTTTCAAGATAGGCAGTTCAGCACACTAGTAACAAAGTCTGATCAAAAGTTGACCATGTGGCTCCTAGCAGTAAGCACTGCAACAGAGATTCTTTGAAACACGGAAACGCCTTGGCTGAAAAGTAGTAAACCGGGCGTCGGTTGGCTGCTCTGTAACCCTTTCCAAGTGAGGTAAATAGCCTGAGCAGAAAAAGTGCGCTGTAGTCATTTCAAATGGTAAATCTTTGTTTAAGGACATGGACTGACTGCTTTCTTTGGAAACGTGGCACAAGGTTGTTACTAATTTCACAATGAGAGCACGGTCAATAGAAAAATGGACATAATTACTGTTTCTCAGTGGCAGCTCACTAAATCCTCAACATCCTTTGAATCCTCCGAGTCAGGACTGCCCAATGATGAACCAATAATGTGCGACCCATCTCCATGATGCTGTAGGATGGGATCTGCCAAGAGATGCAGTACATTAGAACTCCTTATTTATTGTGCCGTTGAAATAATATTCTGTCCTTGAAACAGATTTCGTCCCGTTGAAACAAATTTCTGTCTTTTGACAAGACAGAAAACGCCATCTGAGCTTTGAACCAATTTTAAGCCACGTTACACGAGCTAGTCAGTTCTCAATTATCAGTTTCAAGATAAGCCTTGAGTAATATATAGATGCAACCAGCGTGATTTAAATTTGGATCCAGCAGGTCTTACTAGCTAGGGCTCAATGCTGACCCTCAGATAGCTCTGCAGTGAGATCCTTCCTCCACAAAGGAATATTTATTTAGGTGCATCACTGGAAGAATACATCTGTGCTGCTTCCAAGGCTGGGCTGGCTCTTGGCATTTGGGAAGTGTTGCACAAGCTAACAAACCTTTCCAGATGAGTGCTGTGCAAACACCTCCCCCAGGAAAACCCAGCCCTTCATCTAAGATAACAAGCAATCAGTTGCACTTCTGATGCCTTTGGTCTTCTCTCAGATGAGAAACAAATTTAGTTCAAGCACCAGCCAGGAAGAAACGCACATTAAACAGAGTTACTCATTAGCCTGTGTGTACCAATTCTAGGCTCAATGATAAGGGAAGCCGCTCAGTGACGACGCTGCTGCTGTTCTAACGCTTTTCCCGTGAGGTTAAGCTGCGTTCAGACTAATTTTCTTCTACTGAAGTAAGTGGGGTAACCAGCTTGCTTACAAAGTTTCACAGTAATTACATGGAAAGCAGTTTAAGAGAAAGCAAGGATCTATAAACTGGTGTCTACAGGAACTCAGAACTGCCACACTGAATTAATCCTGTCTCCAGCGTCAACTATATAAAAGGACCATCCTACCTGTTAGGGTTGTCAGGGGCAAGACTGATTCGCTGTCTATATCGTCCGATGTCTGGATGAAACCATGAGAAGAAGGAACAATAAGGACAGTCTCATCATCTATTGTAGGCTGATCAACTTGTTCTTCTATTGTTGGAGAACCCAGGTCCTGAACAATAGAAAACAGAAGGACAGGACATGAAAGGTACATTCTTGGTAGCACAGACAGGAAAACCTGCTTTGGCCAGCCATACTCCATAACAAGCAACAGACTGCCTGGATGAATTTTATTTCATTAAATTGACACGCCAACACCTGAGTTAGCTACCCTAGCACTGCTATGGCATGTTTCATCCTAGTGTAGGCAGCTAAAAAATGAGATGCCCTGAGAGCAGTATGAGGGCACATGGAGAGGAAAAGGAGAGGCGGCAGAGTGGTGATAAAACATTACTTTAAGTAAAATATTCTGTCTATAGAAAGTAATAATTAATCTTTTCCCTTACTTACTATTTAGATGATCTGACATACTGAACCAACACCTTTATAGTACTTACCAGCTCCACAATTGCTATAGCTTTAACCTGAACTTCATATATGAGTTTCACTACTCCTGCTTCTCTATTAAGTTTTAACTACTGGACCCGCAGCTCAAGAGACCAATTTTAATTGCTCTGCTTTGTCCTGTGAGTCACTGATATAGAGTGGTGCCGAACTTTTTAGCTGAACCTCACTAGGTCAGAAAATTAGCAACACGCTGATTCCCTCCAGGTTCAAGCTGCTCTTTCTAGGCTCTGGTAGTGCTGACACTGAAAAGGGAGTAACACATCTGGCTTACTCAGTGTCACAGCACACTCCTGTGGACTCCTGGCTCTGGGAACGCAGTGGAAAGACACCCTGGCTAATCCTGCCAAAACAGGCACAGATATTTGAATTCCAGTTTTTTTGTGTATAATGCTTATGGTTTGTTCATGCATCAGGAACCACCGATGCAGAACGCTAGCAACCGTAGCTGACAGGGTGAATGTAGCTGGATTTATCTCAGTTTTCAGAGGTAGGGGGAAGTGTTTTAGAGCGATAACAGCCCCCTGTGTTCAGGACAATCCTGAAGTTCCAGCCAGTTTCAGGAGAACTTGCTTACCTGTATATTTTCACAGTGTACTTTTTGTAAAGAAAGCTGCATGGTAACATTACCTTTCTCTGGTGCTGCTGAAGAGCAGGAATTCATTACCTGCGCTGCAACTCAGAGATTTAAACTTAGTCCAAGGGTGTACCCATTCATGCAAGGCACAGTACGCTCAACCAGAAAAAGCAGCTTTTCTGCAGAGAGCTCAGCTGGACCTGCCCACGATAAGCAGTGTGTCGCAAGGCTTGAAACTGGGGAAAGGAGGCACGAAAAACTAAAAAAGCCATTGTGGCAAATGGGCACCTCTCCCAGCCAGAAATAATCTGCAGCACGATTGCCTTCTTCCCACTACCCACACCCACAACGACAATACAATATTGACAAGTGCATAAAGATAACACTGACTTAGAGAGAGTAAAATTTAGAGAGGTTTTTTAGAGTAGCTTTTTACTTAGAATCACTCTGATAGTTCTTTCCTGAAATTTAAACGTGTCAAACTTGAATCCAACTAGAAGAATAAAGCAAATGAGAATTTCAAGTCCAGTTTGCTTTTTTGTACAGAAATAAATTTTAATACCTCTCTATACACTGTTAGCCATAAGTAACTTCTATCAAGTTCAATTAGAAACTGTGTTTATAGCACAAACGTACAGATTCCTGCTTGAGAAGCTGAAATTTTGAACTGAAAGCTGACGGGCTGCCTCAACCATCACAAATTTTATCACAATTGTGTAAACTACAAGACAAGAAAGAGGAAAATGGAAGAAGAATCCTCAGCTTTGGATGTATGCAGGATACAGACACTTCTGTAGTAGCAGACTGTTAAGGCATACAAAGATCCTCCTCTTAATAAGAGCACAATGAATATGCAGTGCCTCTCTATTTACCTTTGCAAAGACAAAGCCTAACAAAGTTCAAGCATATTAATAGCGGATTTTTTTTCCAGAGTGGTTTACAGCAACTGTAAAACGTATCATTTCGAGAAGAGGAGGGGACATCTGAATCTACTTCATCTCTTTTTGCAGTCTAACCTAACCCAGCTTTTAAGGAAAAGATATTTCACACCAAAGAGAGTGTCTTATTTTTAATGCTCCTATTTTCTTTGTCTTATTCATTACTATAGTTCCAGCAACTGTAAGACGGAGGAATTTAGTATAAACAATCCAAATGCCTGAATTAATGTGGATAACCTCGTATCTGCTACTGTAGTGCTGGAGCCGACGAAAACTGAGGCCAGAGAGAGCCATGGCTTATATGCTTTTCATTTCAATTTAACAAATATTTAACTGGTCTACTTTGCTTAATAAAAGTCCTCAAAAATGAAAGCTGGGATGCACCTAAAGACAGGTTATTAGATTCATAGAGCACGAGTGAAATACTGTACCTAACCTTCCTTGCTCTGTAAAGTACACACGTTGGGCAATTTTACACCAGGTTTAAAGCAACAGCGTCAAACAGTAATCAGATGAATTCCACTGCTAGGTGCCATTTCTACTCCCACAGCCACCTGATCACACAGATATATATTTTCCACAGTCAGCAGGCAATGCAGTCTGAGCAGTGAAGCAACTCCCCAGCTAGCGAGCGGCTTCAGATCAAGCCAAGTCTAAACTTTGTTCCAAATTAAAGCCCATCCCTTCCACACCCATATAACATTAATGAAATGGAAGGACAGAGCATCTGAACAAAACGCGCTTAGAGCTACGACATGCATTAAATCACTGACATATTCATATTAATAGCTGGACATGAAGGTTCAGAGAGACAATGAAATCATTCTCTCTCCATGCAGAGAAGAGGAAAATTTCAGGTATCACACACTTCCTTACCTCAGTGACATAAGTGCTGGTTAAATCAGTGTGAGAATCCTCCCCTTGTTTCAGGCTGGCCTCTGAAATCTCCTCTTCAGTTCTTACCATAACTCCATCCATGAGTTCATTGCTATTCCTGCCACTAAATTTGGAGGCATCATCTTCATTGTAGGCTGACTGCTCTTCATCACTCAGCTTGGACTGGTGGATATCATCTGGGAAACTATTTGCTTCTAAGGTATCGGGAGGATCTGTCAAGTCAGCTGACTGAATGTCTGAATCAACAGTAAGTTCTGCCTGAGTGACAGAGGAGGAGATATCTTCAGCAGCAACGGTGCGGATTATGACACTTGGCGTGTGGCACTGCACTGTGACATTGTCACCTGTATTTAACAAGTGTTCTGGCTGTAAGCAGTATTTGGAAAAAGAAAAAAAAAAAATCTCAGAGACTTTCCTCTAAGTATCTTAAATCTTTCAACAAAGAAAGCAACTGAATTCAATGAAGTCGTTATTAAGTGTAATTTAAAGGCTTACATACACAGTACAGCAGCCCAGATCATCTTTTGACCTTTCATGGAATTAAATAACGAATTTGAGG